TCCTCTGTATCCATTGTTCTGCACCTGTGGATTCAACCAGCCATGGATCATGTAATACTGTAGTACTTACTTTTGAAAAAAATCTGCATATAAGTGGACCTGCGCAATTCAAAGGGTTATTCAAGGGTCGACTGGATATAAAAAGTAGGTAATGTGTAGCCCAAAGGCTGAAGCTCGACCCCCAGTGTGTTTCCTCCAACCCTAAAAAAGAGGGCTTATTTGTGTTAGCAGGACCCACAGGTTGTCACACGGCTCTTCTGCACCATGGAAGCCCCGAAGGGCGGCTGGATCAGCCCTGAGCCTGTCCAGCTGTCTCTTCTCCCCACTGCAAGGGCCCTGCTCTGGGAAGCGCTCTCTGTTCTCAGCAGCCTGGCTCAGAGGGCCCTTAACACGGTAATGCTCTCAGTTGTGTGGTGTGGAGGTGTTCTGAGTCCTCTCTCCACAGCAGGATGACCATCTCCTTAAAGGCAGGGCTACAGCTTCCTGACTCCCTCAGGGAACCTCGCTGGGTGCTGGGCATCTGGAAGGCACTCAAGACATTGAAAGAAGAAGCAGAGCCTCTTGGGATTCAGAGGGACTTTAAATGGGCTCAGCCAGTTCACCCCCATCCGGGTTCTGAATTCCTTCTGCAATAGCCTTAGCAAGGGCCACTCAGAACCTCTGGATGTGGGGAATCTACCACCCCAGCATCTGGTTGGTCTTAGAGCCACTGCTTCTGAGACTGACTCCATGTTGCCGTGTTTAACTGTTTTGTGACCAGTTGCTTTGTCTTCCCAAGCGATGGATGCTCCACCGGAATGAGAATCTATTCTTACTGATTTTCCCTCAGTGCTAGATGGATAGGCCAGTGTTTGAGCCTGTGAGTCATTGCAATGAAACCCCTCATTAGAACATGAAGGAGCACCAGGCAGAGATGAAATGTCCTTGGAGTGTCACTGCCCTTTGAGAAGTCTTCAGTGTCTGAGCCACGCAGTGGAGTGTGTGCTGGCATCCGAGCTGCTTGTTCCCGCCCCCTCATTAGCGGTCCTTGCTCCTGCCGCCACAGTGGGCCTGCCTCTCCTTCCCCATCACTGGCCTCTGGTTTGCCTCTTCTCAGCAGGTCGGGAAGCTCAGTGGCCGCTCCTGTTAGCATGTGTCTTAGGATAAGTGCTGTGGCACCAGGTGTGGATTTTTAAGAGCTTTGAGATGAGCAGCGTGTTTGGACTTGGAGGAGTGGCTGTGTGGCCTCCATTGTGGCTATTCCAAGGTTTTGGAGGGTTTTGATAGCTTTCCAGGTTCTGGAGGGCATCAAATTAAGTGATTTCTGGAAAAATAAGGGTTTGATATAGAAATCTTTTGAAGTCAGGTACTTTTATTACTTTCAAGTCTGTGCAGTAATGTTAGTGAGGTATTTATCAGGAGGAGTCCTGCTGGATGTATTTTGATGGTTAGTTGGGACATGCTTGCAATTAGTACCATTCATTTCCATAAAATTAACGTGCTGATGCTCTTTTTCTAAAGTAGTTTAACTGTCTAATATGTTTGTGATTACTTTCACATAGTAAGTCTTCCAAACATAAATAAATGTCCGCTTAGACTCAGTAGAAGCCAAATTTGTAGAAACCTAAAATCATGAATCAGAAGAGTTTAGGGATTTAAAAAAAATAAAATAACAGTGCCAAAAGATCTCTAAACAGAGCCTTTATTGCAAAGGAGAAGATGACATGAATAGGCATGTTGAGACTAATAGAGAAAGAAGGCTCCCTGAGAAAACAGTCAGTGGTTTCTTACTTAGAGAGCCTCATATGGGAGAGTGGGTCCCTGGGACCGTGCCGGCCAAGGCCCCGTGACCACAGAGATGCCCAGAAGGGGGTCCTGCTGAGACCAGCTGATGGGGGAGTGGGCTGGGCAGCAGCCAGGTTCTTTCCCACGAAGGCACTGAGGAGGCTTAAACCACATAATAATAGTGTACCCACTGAGGAGGGCGCCAAGCCTGGGCTTGCTGGGTTGTTTTATTTACTTGAAGAAATTTTTTTCAGCTCTCAACGTACAAAGATAGCACAGTTCATCATGCCATGCCTTCCCCTCCTGCCCCCAACCTTGGAGCTGCTGAGAAAAATACTCTGGAATTTAGTCTGTCCTCAGTCAGGGAGAGCAGAGAATGTGGGACTCAGGTTATGAAGTTGAAAACTTCTAAAGAGCTCAAAGCCCTCACAGGAACTCAGGTGCCACTGCGATAAGGATGTCGCCGTGAGGACAGAAGCCCAATACGCTGGTTGTCCTCCGTGAAGTTGTCGGGGCGTGGAGTCGGGGATACAAGGCTGGGTACACATACATTAGTGGTTGGGTGTGCAGAGCAAACCTCGGTGAAAAGGGCGCGCCGGCCTGCCCTTTGTGTGTAATACTGACCCAGTAGTTCCTCGGGGCAGACGCTGTTTCCTGTGTGTCAAATAAAGTAATATCTCCGCCACCAGGTAGCTTCTGCTCCAGTCGGGGGCAACAGAGGAACATCAGGTGAACAAACTTGTATGTAGCGATTTCAGGTCATGATAAAGGATGTGAAGAAAATAGAACAGGGTGATGTGAGTGACCAGGGGGCTCCTTTAGATGAAGTAGTCAGGAAGCCACTTCCCATGAGGGGAAATTTCTCAGACCTGGAGGATAAGGAAAGGCCAGTCCTCTGGTGACTGGTTAAGGACTAGCCAATGAGAAGACTGAGTCATGCACAAGCTTCAGTGTGTGAAAAGCGCACGGTTGCATGACTAAAGAAAGGTGGCTAATGGAAGCTCCCTGGGCAGAGGGAGAGTGACAGGAGATGAGGTCAGAGAGCTTGGCAGAGACGTAAAGCCCACAGGGGTGGATTCCACCCTGAATGTGACACAGAGCTAATACAGGGTTGAGAGTGCCCAGGTCCCTCTGGCTGAAACGTGGAGAATGGACTTCATGGTGACAAGCCCAGAAGTACTTAGGAGGCTCTCATGGTGGACAGGGAGATGGAGATGTGGAGAGAGTCAGGGCAAGGACAGCCGCTGACAGCCCTGGACGATGGCGTCATCGTAGGATTGGGTGGGGGAAGGGCAGGGTGACTCCCGCTTGCACTCAGTGGATGGCGGGGCCTTGTCCTGAGGTGGGGGCTGTGGAAGGAACATGCTGGCAGTGGTCTGTGGGATGGAATGAGCATGCATGCCAATCAGGAGTTCTCTTTGGGCCATATTGAATTTGAGGGCCTGTAAGCATTTGAGTGGCGATGTCGGGGGCCAGGCCTGGAGAGCACTGAGTCATAGATGGGACTTAAAACTAAGAGCCTGGATCAGCTCACCTAGAGAGAGCGCACGGCAAGGGACCGGGGGAGTAGTGAGCCCTGAGGCCTTCCCACACCTGGAGGTTGAGCTCCTCCTGGAGAAGGAGCCACCCAGGTAGGAGACTGTGGTCGGCCATGGCGAGAGGAAATTGTTTCTGGAGGGAGCCGTTGATCGTGTCACGTGCTGCTGAGGGTTGAGCCAAAGTGAGCACAGAAGAGTAAGCACTGACCAACGCGGAGGTCATCAGCAGCCTTGACAAGAGTAATGCAATCTGCGCGGTGGAGGTAGAAGCCCTGTCAGATTGGATTGAGGAGTCCATGGGAAGTGAGGAAGGGGCGCCAGGGAGGGTGACAACTCTTTTGAAATGTTTTCCTATAACTTGGAGCTGGGAACCAGGGCACTGGCTGGAGAGAGATGTGGAATCAAGGAAGAGCCAGCTGGTTTACTAGGGAAGTAGGACAGAGGAGAAGGGGCAAGGGGTAGAGGGAGGTGCATGTATTTGGAGAAATGACTGGGGGTGGGTGGTGGTTTCACGCTGTTTCCCGCGGCGTGTGCAGGTTTCCAGTTCTCCCCTAGTGCATACACGTGCCCCTAATAATTCGATGTGAGCTGATGCCTACGGGGGCACTGGGCCTTTCTGCGCTGCAGAGTGAGTGGAGAGCCTGGAGCCGATTCTCCATGGCCACGGGGGTGGGGCGAGGGGACGTGGGCTGATTGGCTGGTCCTTACCTGATCCGTTCATTCAGCGAGCAAACATGGCTGAGCCCATTCTGTGCCAGGTGTAGTTCCAGGCCTTTCAGACACGATGCAGATCAGCCCCTGTCCCCTAGAAAGTGCTTTCTGCCGGTGGGGGGCGGGGCACTGCCCAGCCACCTGCTGCGGGTGGGAGGAGCAGCCCCAAGGCAGGTTTGCTGTTTCTCAGAAGCGAGATTTGAACCCATTTCCAGGAGGAACTTGGTGTGTGAGTTCCTTGAGAAGGAGGTTCTTGGAAGGAAGTGGGGTGCAGGAAAGGAGACTGGGTGGAGGTAGCAGCTGCAGCACCTGCGGCAACGGGCAGGGAGCTGAGCTGGAACCCCCAGGCTGCCACAGTCCCCCAGCTGCTGAGCTGAGTTAGGGATCTGCGGTAGCATCAGCTGGGAGGTTGGGGAATTTCTCTGGGTGAGTGACCCTCGGCCCGCGTGAGGGAGGGCCCCTGGGCTCCGTGGGGCTCCTCGTGCGTGCAGTGCTCTGGGCCCAGGACTGTGGGGTGAGGCCCCAGGCAGACCTCTCTGCAGTTTTAAGGGCAGGACTTGGTTCAGGTGACGTATTGTGACCCTGGACAAGTCATTTAACCTGCTGTGCCTGCTTCCTCTCCAGAAAAATGAGAATCGATTGTTCTACTTCAGAATGATCTAGTCTGGATAAAATGAAGTAACCAACCCAGCAGCTGTTACCTCGTCTGTTGAGAGACCATTGGTGTGAGCTCTGGGGCCAAAGGCCTTGTGTTCAAATTCTGGTTCTGTTTCTAGCTGTGCAATCTTGGTCAGGGGCCTCTGTGCCCTCAAGTTTCCTAACCTGTGCAATGGAGACTATACTAACGCCTGCCTTCTGAGGCGTCCAGTGAAGGAATCTGTGTAATTGCTGAGAAGAGGGGCTGGGTGCCAGCTGCTGTTAGGACGAAGCTTTCAGGCATCCCCGCCGTGTCTGCAGCTACACGATGGTTGTATCTTTTCTCTGCAGTTCCGCCTGGTGGTGAAGACGGCCCTGAAGCTGCTGCTGGTGTTTGTGGAGTACTCGGAGTCCAATGCACCTCTTCTGATTCAGGCCGTCTCTGCTGTCGACACAAAAAGGGGTGAGTGGTCCCTGCCCACTATGTCATCGAAGTAGAAGCGCCTGATGAAAGAAGGCTTCCACTTTTTACGTGTTCAAAACAGAATTAAGAATGAACAGAATTCCCTTTGTGTGGACTTCCCACCGCAGGAAACGTATATTTTAGGATAGTTAAGTGTACAAAGATTAGGTTAGGGAGGGAACAGTGAAAGAAAAGCACTGCTGGGCTAACCCATAAAGCTAACCCAGCTTATCCTTATGCTGTCTTCAGCCTCCACGACTGAACACACAGAACCAGTTCCTTATCCTCTTTTCCCATCCTGTTGGGATCACTCTGACTCCTTCCTCTCTTCCCCTCACACCTGCTTGATTGGCTCTGACCCCTAGATGTTCCTTGAATGTTCTCCCTTCCCTGGCATACCCACCCTCCCCTCTGCTATTGGAGGATTCTTCTGAAGCACAAATTTGGCCACATCGTTTTCCATCTAAGACCCGCCCGTGGCTTCCTGGTGCCCACAGGATTAGGACCTGACGCTTCGCCATCTGGCCCCTGTCCACCCGTCACCTCCGCCTCCCACCCGGCCTGCAGCACACCCTCCCCATCTTGGATCAGATGGGCGTATGCTCTCAAAGCCCTCGCGCGTCCCTATTCTCTGCTGTGCTCTTGTCACTGCCCGTCTCCCATGAGTGTGTGCCCTGCTCAAGGGCAGGGTGTCTGTCTCTTCTTGGTGTCCCAGCACCTGGCTGACCCACAGCAGGCAGGCCTGCTGTACACACTTGACGACGAATGAGCTTTGGATCCGGCTGACTGTAAAGCAGGCCGTGGCTCCTATAACACTGTGAAGCCTGAAGCTACAATGGGGTGTTTTGTTTTGTTCTTTTAAAAATATTTTGGTTTTGTTCCTCAGTAGGACATTTTTATTAATGTTATCATTCCCACAAAGACTCTAACGAGAACAAAAACTTGATAACATTATTTTTTTTCTTTTTATAACAGTAACACTCTGTAGAAAATTTGGAAAAAACAATGTAAAGGAGACCGTAAAAAATCACCTCTAATCTCACCAGAGAGAATTGTCGTTAACATGTTGGTGTATGATTTTGTGTATGTGTGTGTGTGTGTGTGTCTCTGCATGTGCACACACATGTTTATGAACAAGTCAGCCGAGGGACAACTGTCAAAAAGGAACGAGAGGCCTAAATAGTCCTCTTTGATTCAAACCACTTGCGTCTCTGACTTAGCACTGCTCAGAGAGCCACATCCAGCGCTGAATCCAAAGATGAAAGAAAGCAGCTCACTAGTTGCTTTGAAAGTTTGAATGTAAGTTAATGAAAGCCATCCAGGACCGTGAGCTGGGCCCCCACACTTTCCCCACAAACACGCAGGCAGACCTCAGTCCCCAGCTCGGTGGATTGCAGGCTGGAGGGGACTCCAGGCCTGTGTGTAGGTGTATCACAGAGGCAGTCCCTAGTGTGTGGTCGGGGGCTGTGAGTCTGGAAAGTGGATCCCAGACAGGGGCAGGTTTCTTTCTGCCACAGCCTGTTGCCATCTGAAGCACGAGCATGAAGACCCTCATGGCCTCAGGAGCAGATCAGTGGGACTCCCTGAGAATCCTAATGGAGGCTCTCAATGGCTCAGAAGCCAGGCCGGGCTTTCCCAGGGCCAGTCAATGAGGCCTAAGGCCAAAGGTGGGTATTTGTGGAGAGAGTGAGGCCAGTCCTTTCATCTGTCCTTGGAAGATTCATACTCCATCCTCCAACTCTGGGGGTTGCTTTAGGACAATTAGCAGACTCTTCATTTTCCTGTCCTAAATTTCAGGTAACCCATGGGCCCTTGTCATGGGCGCCATGTTAGAGGGGACAACCTTCTTGTGACCTTCCTTTCTCGGACTGCACATTTCACGGAGGGCATGTTGTGGACGTAGAGGAGTGATCCCGAGGGCACCCTACCCCCAAGACTCTACCTGCAGGCCCAGTCAGAGGCTGTCAGCTCTACTCTCTCCCCCAAGACAAAACAATGGCCATCTTTCCCCAATTTGTAAAAATATAAAGTCAAAACAGCCAAGGGGTTGTTTCTTCAACGTCACGATTTTTGCCTGTAAAATTTCTTAAGCTTCTGGCAAGTGCTGTCACCTGTCTGCTACTGAGCACTAGTGGCTGAGAACAGAAAGGAACAACACTAATGGAAAAACTCAGCCATAGCTTATCCCGTGTGGTTCATTCCCATGTTTCTCTATGGCATGTGTGGTCTCGGCCATGATTTTCTAACATATACATATAACATCATCCTCTTTTACTGCTAGTAAAATTGTTCCTGAACCCTGTGCTGGAATTGGACATCTAAATATGTCATGCTCGGGCTTCCCTGGTGGCGCAGTGGTTGGGGGTCTGCCTGCCGATGCAGTGGACGCGGGTTCGTGTCCCGGTCCGGGAAGATCCCACATGCCGCGGAGCGGCTGGGCCCGTGAGCCATGGCCGCTGGGCCTGTGCGTCTGGAGCCTGTGCTCCGTGGCGGGAGGGGCCGCGGCAGTGAGAGGCCCGCGTACCGCAAAAAAAAAAAAAAAAAGAAAACAAAATCTTAAATATGTCATGCTCTTCTGCAGGAAGCAGCATGACTAGCAGGTGTGTTTCCACCTGGCAAGCTTAGAAGCTGCTCTCGCTCTCCAGTCCCCTCTCAGCTGGACCAGCAAGTAGACAGACGTGCCAGAGGTGACTGAGGGCCAGCCGAGTACGTCCATTTCCACACAAGTTTATAAATAAGCCATAAATTTGACTCCTCAAGGTGGCTTTAGACTCATTTTGGGGGAGATAGGGTGGAGAATGGGCACGTTACAGACTTTTTTAGTAGAAAGGAATTCTTTTGGATGATGAAAACTGTTAAGTTTAGAGAATCAGCAAAGAAAATCAACAAACGAGCTAAAAGACCTCAAAAATTACTACCGCCTACGGCAGATGAAGTTGTCTGAGAACAGATTCCTCTGGTTGCTTGATAAACATCGCACATCCCACACGTGGGTTAACCAGAAGTGTTCATTTGTGAGCGTGGATGGACAATTTGCTGTTAGGCCAAGAGTGGGCCAGTTAGGGAGCAGCAATAGAAGCTGAGGGATCTAGGTGTTTCATAGAGACTAATAAATATGCATGAATTAATGAAAATTCAACGGGCCCCATTTGATCCCGGCAACTGCCCCTTTGGTTCAGGGCCTAGAATGAAATGGTGGACTGGAGTTAGTCTCCAGGGCATGGCTCAGTGTCACACCTGTCTGCACATACTGCAGGGGCAGACTCTTTTTTTTTAAAGATTTATTATTTATTTATTTATTTTTGGCTGCATGGGGTCTTGGTTGTGGCATGCGGGATCTTCGTTGAGGCATGAGGGAACTTTCGTTGTGGCACGCGGGCTTCTCTCTAATGGTGGCATGCAGGGTTTTTTTCTCTCTCTAGTTATGGCGCACAGGCTCCAGAGCGTGTGGGCTCTGTAGCTGTAGTGCACGGGTTCCAGAGCATGTGGGCTCTGTAGTTTGCGGCACGCGGTCTCTCTAGTTGAGGCGCGCAAGCTCAGTAGTTGTGGCGCGCGGGCTTAGTTGCCCTGCGGCATGTGGGATCTTAGCTCCCTGCCCAGGGATCTAACCCGCGTCCCCTGCATTGGAAGGCGGATTCTTTACCACCGGACCGCCAGGGAAGTCCCAGGGGCAACTGTTTTGCCTGCATCTTCAAGTCAGTTTCCCTTCCTAGTGGATGGGGCCAGGCAGGAAGAGAGAAGGGCAGTAAACACTCATGGAAGCCCACGGGAGGGCCTTGCCTTGTCATTTTGCTATCATCAGAGACTTCCTTTCCTGGGGACCTTTGCTGTGGTGGTCAACAGGAAACTGGTCGAGAACCCTCTGCTCCCCTGGGCGGGGTGCCCCTCCCTCTGACTGTATGAGTTTGCCTCTCAGACACAGGGGGCGGCACTTATTTTGTTACCCACAGACTGGGTAACTTATTTTGAAATTTCAGTCATAAATCTTGAGTCCTGCTAATTTGGTTCAGCACTGCTTTTGAAGAAGTTCCATTTTTCATTTGAATGTGAGGTGATGAGATATGACATAATTTTTAAACATGTGTCTAACACATGATTAACAGGGGAAAAAGAATCCAGCCGTCTTTTCAAGCGATCCCGTCTCTGACTTCTGCTCAAGGATACGTTGCTCTGTGAAGAATGCACAGAGCATGGTGGAGGTTAGAGTGGGCAGAACTCAAGCTCTGTTTCCATTGCTGCTTAGAGCAGAAGCATACCTGTTAAGTGTTCATTGATCACGCTGAAAGGCTTGGAACATGCCGCTGGGACCTTGTATTTGAGCGTCAGACCAACTTGTGTACAAGGCATCGTGCAAAATAGCTTACTCTTTTCTTTTGGGTTTAATACAGAGACTCGTGGGGAGAGTAAGAGGGAGAAGTGCTGAGCGGTTTATTCTGGGTTGAGGGAGGAGTGCTGCGGTTTGGTGGGAGGAGGACTCTGGCCTGGGAGCCTGTGTGGAAGGCCTATGGGTCCGTGTGGGTGTCCTCCACCCACCACCACTGCAGTGGCGGCTACTGCTGTTCGAGTGCCTGCCACGCAACAGACGCTGTTCTAAGCGTTCTTCGTATAAAACTCATTTGTTTGACGAATTTATAAGTGCCAACCATGTGCTTGCAAACATCAGAGAAAAGCCAGGCTGTCATGGAACCTACACTCACTGCAGTGTTTGGGGTGGAGGAAGGGGAGGTGGAGTTGGAGGGAGACGGATGATAATGATGAAGGAAATTACTGTCTCCTGACGTTCTCCATCAGTGCTCAGGAGAATCGACAAAATGCTCTACCTCCATGACACCTCACAGTGAGCCTCTAGGGTGGATCCCATCCCTCCAGGTTAGACGCGTCTCTCTAGCCTCTGTTCATTCCACTACTTTGGGGCTCGGTTTCGTTCTCTGTTATGTGAAGGGGGAGGATCGTGTGGTTTATGATTCTAATACAGGACCATCCCCTACCTACACATACACACACGTAAACCCCAAATGGAGCAACAAAGGTGATGGTGGTGGGGGTGAACTGGACCATTTAGTTCTGACAGGTGGCAGCTCTTGGGACAGTTACGACTGCTGGTGCTTGATACAGGCCAGCTGGAGCCCTGCCAGGGCTATTTGTGTTGAACTAGAAGGTTTCTTCCCCTTCCCCTTCATTCTCCTAAAAAGTTTCTATTTTCTGGTCCCCAAACAGTCAAAGGACAGTGAACATTTATCCCAACAGTGTATGAATACATGCAAATTTCCAGTCTTGAAATCCTTAAATGGTAAGAAGGGAGTCAGATATTACAGCTGAAGATCACGGTTTTTAATTAAACCAGTGTTTGAGTGTTTTCATTATAATGGATAAACTAGTGCACAGATATGTGTGTCTGCATGAGAGAGAGAGGAGGAGAGGAGATAGTCCAGGTACATCCCTCTCTCTGGGATGCCTGTGGCTGCTTCTTGGCTTTTCCTTCCCCAGGCCCTGTTTGACATGTGTGACCCCAAAGTAAGGAACCAGGAAGCAGTTCTGGACCCCCGAGCCCCACTAGGAATCCTTCGCACTGACGCTCTCCCTCTTGCATAGGCTTTTCTTTACGCGTATGTGGGGAACCCAGTAGAACTCGTGTTTTCGTGTTTTGTACTGAGGTCGGGTGTGAGTGTGAATGACGGAAGTTGTCCTTGTTATAAACATGAGCAAAGGCACTTGGAATGCTTGACCGATTCCTGGACAGTGAGACCCATGACCTACTGACCACACTGATTGTCTTGAGGGCGGAAGCAGTTACTTTGCTGGGCTTTGGAGAACAGGTGTGGACTTCAAAATAGTTTGATGATAAAGATCAGCAAGAAGATAATTTTCAAGAATTTCAAGAATTTCAAGAATTTTCAACAGTTAGCAGGCAAAGGATCATTCTTTTGTGTTCACAGTAACAAAGGGTCATAGAAGCTTAGTCCATGGGTTCATAGTTTGGACCAACTGGGCAGCTAGTCCAAAGGAAAAGGCTTTTTGTTCCCTGGCTGGGAGCACCAACAGACCTGTACATCAAACTACATCTGTGTCTTTCACATTGTATAGTAGGTGCCTATTCCTTTTAAAATTCTCCTGTCTTCTCTTCTTTTCTTACTGTGTGCATTTAACCCTCTGGCTCTTTTAAAACTGCCCTAGTTTAACCCACCCATGCCCTCTCAGGGGTCTCCAGTCACTAGTCAGACATTTTCTTGAGCACCTACTATGTGCCGGGCACTCTGCCAAGGGCACAGAGATAAGACAGGACACATCACTGCCCTTGGGGAGCTTTTGTTCTCAAGGCCAGGAAATCAGCTCTGACATAACCCATCCATGAATCAGCATTTGGAACCCGCTGGTTTTAGGTTATTTCAGACTTTACTTTTTCAGCAAAAATAAGCCATGTCCCTTTGAGATCTTTATAGAGAAAGCAGGAAAGAGCTGCACGTTCCACACCGCCACGCCAAGGGCAAGGCAACACTTCACTGCAGATGTTTATCTCCAGCGTAGGAAATCACATCAGGATGTCGTGTACCCTTTGTGGCCTTGGCCTTGGCTTGGCGATCCTGAACGTGGAGGGTTTCCCTGCCCTCCCTGGACCCACGGGACAGCCTCCAGGAGCCTCCCCCAGGAGCTCCACTGAGGAGTCACCTCTTGCACCAAACCTTCCTCGACCATCGCACTGCAAGAGACAGACCTCCCTTGCTGAGTGACAGGCTTGGCTAAGCGCTTTGCCTTCTAAGTGCCTTTACCCTGTGCTGAGGTGTGTTCCTGTACTTATGCCTAACTGTTCCATTTGATTGTAACCTCTTGATGACAGACTCCCAGAGACCCAGTTCCTTGGTACCTGGTTGATGCTTAAATAGATATTTGTGCCTTGATTGAATACAGATAATATACTTCTGTTCTTGAAATGTTTGCTAGATGGACGTTTCACAGTTATTGTTTGAAGTCCATTGCTAGAGTGACTGTAAAGCTGTCCTGTGTCCCCTTTCCTTGCAGGAGATGGACATACAGAGAGTACTTACAAAGAATTTCCACACTTGGAGAGTAAAATGCATGGTCTAAAAAAAGCTGCATATGAATGGATTTTTAAAAAATCACCTATTTAGTATAAAGGGAACTTTTCAAACAAACTGATAGGCATCCTGACACTGAAGAGTATACATTTTCAAGTAGACAAGGATGACATGGTATATCGTCACCTAATTGGAAACATATTCAAGTCCATCCTAAGAATTGTGTCATGCTTTGAAATTTGGTGACTGAAAGGCACTGCCATCATTGGGTGATAAGTCTCTGGATAAACTGTGATGTGAATTGGACAAGGAGTGTTGACTTGCTGTTTCTAATGATTTTTGCTTTATTCTAGGAGTCAAACCTTGGTCAAATATCATGGAAATCCTGGAGGAAAAGGATGGGGTCGACACGGAGTTGCTGGTTTATGCAATGACTTTAGTGAACAAGGTCGGTTGATGTTTGTTACCGGTTGAACTGTGTCCCCCCACGCCAAAAGATGTGTTCCTGTAGATGTGTTCCTGAAGTCCTAACCCCTGGTACCTGTGAATGTGATCTTATTAGGAAATAGGATCTTTGCAGATGTAATCAGGTTAAGATGAGGTCATTAGGGTGGGCTCTAATCCAATAGGACTGGTGTCCTTATAAGAAGAGGAAAAGAGATACACATAGAGGGAAGACAAGTTAGACACACATACATGAGGAAGACAGCCAGTGAAAGCAGGGGCAGAGATTGGAGTGATACGTCTATAAGCTGAGGACCGCCAAAGGATGCTAAGCGTTGTCAGCAGCCAATCCCGGATGAAGCAAGGACGGATCCTACCCTAGAGCCATCGGAGAGAGCGCGGCCCTGCCGACACCTTGACGTCAGACTTCTAGTCTCTCCACCTGGGAGAGAATAAATTTCTGGGTGTTTTTCTTCTTCAAAAAACCAGTTTTTTATTTTTAAAGCTCTGCCATGTTTCTAGTGGGTGCCGAGGGTCACCTGCCACACTCACACCAGATGGTCCTTGTAGCCAGCTAACAGTCTGACCATCAGCAGACCAGGCCAGAGAGGTCCACTGGGGGGTGGTTCTGCCTTGCTGCTAGTCCTGATAACTTCTTGCTCCAATTCATCTACGATAATTTTGCCCTCCGAGTCCCAGATCTTGATGCTGAGCCAGCGGCAGCACAGAGCCAGTAGCATTGGGGACGGAAGCACAGGGCATTGATGAGGTTCCCACCATCTAGCGTGTGAAGGTGCTTGCCTTCGTTGAGGTCCCACAGCTTAGCCTGGCCATCCTTGCCTCCAGAAGCACGGAGGGATCCATCTGGAGAGATGGTCACAGTGTTCAGGCAGCCTGTGTAGCAAATGTGATTGGTCTTCAGCTTACAGTTTACCAAGTTCCATACCTAATTTCTGTTGTTTTAAGCCTCTCAGTTTGTGGTACTTTGTTATGGCAGCCCTAGGGAACTAGTACATGTGAAAATCTAAAATTTGCCCTCTGAAGAAGAACCACATCGTGTGCACCCCCGTGGCGGGAACACCCTTCAGCATGCCTCTTTGCAAGAGAAAACCCTTTACACCCACGTGTGGCATGTGTGCAATGTGTGGTGGTGCTCATACCTGTGAAGGCCTGAGAGTCTGCATGCTTTCTGTGCTTTGGTTCCTTCCAATGAAACCGGAAAGAGGGTAGCGAGAATTTTATGGCTACTCGCCCTATCAAGATGTCCCCTTGAAAACATTTTCCCTTAAGAATATAGATTAGCAAGTTTTACTCTAAGGAAATCATTCACAATCAGACAGAAAAGCAAGCACCCTGTTCCACGTCTTACTGACTTCTGACTGCTGGGGGCGAGGTATGGATTCCTGAGGGCGGGTCCCGTCCTCCTCCTGTGATGGTGACCTCACCCTTGTGCTCCCTTTCCTCCCATTACGTCCTCCCTGGTCACCAGCTTGTGTCCATCCTGAGAGGTGCTCTGACCGTGGGTCCCATGCTGACCTGGGACAGCCCACTCTCAGGACTGGAGCTCCTTCATCCCGGTGCTTGGGCCCCTTCCTCATTAATAATTGAGGGAGGGTGGGGTTGTTTCTCTTCCCTGGACCCCAGACGCTACATCAGCCACCCCAAGATCCTCCCTTTTTGTGCCCCAGGCTGCCGGGTGCAAGCCTGAGGACCAACTGCAGTGATCATTAGTTCCTCAGAAAGGACCCAGAATCTCTTCCTGAAATGTAGCAGGAGAAACATTTCCCCTGATGACTGGGGACAAATTAGTAGAAAGCAACATAATTATGAAGAGTAATTCTACTAGATATTAAAATGTTGTGCAAACTCTAAGGATTAAAACAATGTGGTCTTGACTCTTTCCTCAGCAGATGGCTGAAGCAGAGGGGCTGTGAGACAGACCTCAGTGCACAGGATGACTCACCCTGTGATTGAAATCCATAGGGACGGTCAGCTTTATTCATGACTGGGAGAGGTTTTGATAAATGGAAATAAACAAAAACATACTTTGACTGTATACCAAAACAAATTTCAGGTAGATTAAAGAGTTCAGTGTAACATATCAAACTGTAGAAAACTGAGGAAAAACTAGAGGTGAAGATTAACTGGTCTCTAGTTGCCGAATAATAAAATAGTAAAACCAGCCAAAAAGATTCCAAAACAAAGGACTTAAATATTTCACTGTATAAAACTATAAACTATAAAACATCTTATTTTAAAATGAAATCCAAAACAAAAACTAAAGGCAAGTGACAAACTGGGAAATTGTTTGCAAAAAACTGGGCAGAAAATGATACTATCCTAAATATATTAAGAACTCAGTTGAAAAATGAATGACATTAACCCTACTAAGATTAAAAGAAATATATAGTAAAACAACAAGCCATTTTCTCTGGGTCACGTGGGCAGTGATTGCTTTTTAATGAAATGCCGTTTGTTGATGAGGTCACAGGAAATTTCCTACAGTCCTGGTGGGGAATGGGCATCACTTTTCTGGAAGATAATCCTAAGAATTCGGTTTTTATTTTCAAAGCTCTTTGTGAGTTGATTTTACCATGCAATTTGAAAGCAATTTTCTGTTGGTTTTTGAAGATGAAGGTCACCTATTTCCTGTCGTTTTCAGTCACTGCCATTGTTTCGGAAAACATTAAATTCAGCAAAAATGGCATTTTCACTCTTGCACAGTGTTTTCATTGTAATGCTCTCCACATTAGTGGTAGAGGCCATGCTTGGCTGTGTAACGATTCCAGCAGCAGCCGCATGGCGTGGGCATCCTGCTGCCAAACACTGGCAAGGACCCAGCACGTGTCACACTCTCCTTGGCACCATAAGGCATCTAACGTCCAGGAATTCCTCACTTACTCTTTCTCTTCTGGCAGTTCCATCTCATCTTTTGTTCTGGGCCAGGGGAAGTCCAGGAAGGTCCTGAGGACATGATTCTAAGTGTCATCCTTTCCTCAAAAAGGTCAGCAGGCCGCTGGCACCCACACTGGGTTTGTTTTCTTTTGTTGAATTTTAGTCACGTTTATCGTTCCAGTGAGTAACATCTTCTGAGATCCCAAACATCATAACACATTGAAATGCTAATATGGGTCTGGAAAAAATTCAGACTCTGAAATGTGGGAAATTATACTGCTTTTCTAACTTTTCTTTCAGCAAGATGGAAGCTGGCCTAATAACATGGAATTCAAAACATTAACATTTTTATGACAAAACAAGGGTATGAAATTCTTGCCTGCTCATGGTTCTGAAACTGAAGTCTGCTCCCCTTGTTAAACAGGGAGATTAAAGAGGGGTTCCAGGATCCAGACTAATGCCCCCCTGAACTCTCCCCACACCCCAAAACCATGTCTTCAGAAGATCTGAGGGAGCGTCAGAAACGAACCGTTTCTCACCGTGCAAGCTGAAATTGCATGGTGCCCTGTCCTGATCCAGCTGCAATCTCCTAGGTGGGATTCCCCGCTTTGGGGGCTCAGATATTGACCACCTTGTAGAATCAGATGAAGCAGGTGGGGGGCGGGGGATGAGTTACAAGAGCCATTACCATGGGGCTGGCTTGGAGCGTTCAGGGAAGGTGAGCCCAGGGAGCCCTGGGGAGGGAAGCTGCTGTAGCGGAGCCAGCGGGTGAGTTACCTGATGGGATTCACACTGAGCATTTGTTTTTAGATTCGATTATATTGTTTTTTTTAATTACCATATAGTAAAATTGACTTTTTTCTCTTGGTATTTAGCTGTGTAAGTTTTAACACATATATAGTTATGGATAACCTTCACAATTAGCATACAGAACGGCTCCATCTCCCCTCAAATCTCGCTCATGCTATCCTTTTATAATGACGTCCTGATCACCTGTTCATGCCCCTGGCCACCACTGATTTATTCTCTATCACTATAGTTCTATTATTTAAAAAATGGGAATCATACAGGATGTGACCCTTCGAGGCTGGCTTCTCTCACTCAGCACAGCGCCTTAGCGATTCATCTATGTTACTACGCGTATTAATGGTTTGCTCCTTTCTGCTGCTGTATAGTGTGCCATTGTATAATATAAATATGCCTCCAATTTTTATCTCTTCATCCACTGAAGGAGATTTGGGTGCTCACAGCTTTTGGCTTTCACAGATGCTGCTGCTATGAACACTTGTGTACAGGCTTTCACCATACTGGTTTCACCCCACGAGAAAGATTTGATGGGATCAGTGAAAACCCAGGGACTGGAAAATAAAATGTCCTTTAGGACAGAGGTTTCTCCCTCTGAGAGAGGCTGTAAAGATTTACTTGTCACAAACCCTGGCAAGACAAGGTCTGAGAGAAACTAGGAAGGGGGTCCTGAGTGTCGTCTGAGAGTGAAGGCGTCAAGAGACATTTGCTCACAGACTTTTCTGGAGTAGCTGCCTCCTTTGCCAGAAATAGGCACCTTAGCAGTGATTGTCAGGGTAGAAATAGGAGGACAGGGCCCAGGAGGGGTGGGAGTGTGGCAGGCAGCGTTTGCTGAACATGTCAGAGAATCAGCTGAAAAGAGGTGAGTGTGTTTCTGGGCTGCACAGTCCCCTCCCCGTGCGGGCGGAGAACGAAGCTGTCTTTGACAAGATCAAGTGCATTCAGGGTGGTATGGCCATGGACTAGAGAAGCTGTCTTTGATCGTGGTGGAAGGCCAGCTCCCCTGCAGCCACCCACGAGAGGTGGTGGGACGTGGGTGTGGCTCAAGCCCACATTTGCACCGTGGAAATAACAGATGTCCTCTCAGTCAGTACCCTCAGATCTGGGCCTCTTATTAAGCGAGGGCTCTCTGATCTGTTTGGTTCTACAGACCTAATTATTTAATAGAAATCTCCCCACCAACCCATCATGGTTGGGCTTGCTAAGGCAATGGGGACTAGGTCCAGGAAGTTAACCTCCTGGAAACTTCTGAGAGAAGGAACCTCAGTTGACTCTCAGCAGGGAAAAAAGGGAAGAAGAAAGGAGGGGAACGGGGAGGTGAGGAGACTGCCAGAGGCCCCTCTCTGTGCCCATCCTACACCCCACCCCCAACCCCACACTGCGGTGTAGAAAGTTTTGAATCTAGCCCTGAATGTCTACTCACCTGTGATTGGCAGGTCAGCGGTCAGTCAGGGCACCTCCAATCATTAGCCCTGCCCTGGCGTTTGTATCACCATTTCCCTCTCCTCATCTTTTAACAAGTTCTGGAGTTTTCACTAAAACCAAAAGGTGGACTTGTTCTGATGAGAGGGTTCTTTGGACAGGTGTGTACTTTTTAAGTTAACTCAGTGGACTGCTATCTGCTAACGCAGCAGTGACTGCCTTGCCCGGCATCTGCAGACCCCTATGTGTGCTTCCACACTTGGCCACTTCGGTGTGAGCACCTGTTTATTTATTACAGCTGCTGACTGGTTCACAGCCTCCTGTTCTGTTTCCTTGCTGGGGCCCCTGATGGATTAAGCTGTCGCATCCCGGTTCTTTTTCTTCAGTGTCTGGTCTCAACAGCAGTGAGTTGTATCCTGTTTGTTCAGCATAGAAGGGAAACAGCCGTTATTTGGGTTATGAGTAGAGACATTCTTTCCAATATTAATAGCCCCAAAATAGAAGTGTTAAAAGAAGTTGGTGCTGTGAGATGATCCTTAAGAAAGTACTGGTCTTTTTTCTTGCAAGGCAAGTCACCATGTTTAGAGTATTTTTGAAATGCAATAATAATGAAATAAATAGGGAGTCGAGACCTTGAAATTTCAGGCCAGAGTAGTTTGTGTAGATGGCACAGGTGTGTGAGGAAAGGAGACCGGAATAGCAGGTCTGAGCGCAGGGTTTTATTAGTTATTATTTAGTAACTTCCTGTTACCTCAGGCGAATCCTTCCCTCCCCTGATTTCATCTCCCTCGTTTATAAGATAAGGGACTTTGAGTAAATCACCTCAAGGGTCCTTCCGGTTCTAAGCAGAGGCCTGATCTGAGCTATCATCCTTCTTTTAAGAGAAGCAGAACTCACAGAGAAGTCAGCTTTTCCTTTCTTGGGTTATCTTTTTGTCTCTTGGTTGCCGCTTTGAAATTTCTCATGTTTTCCTAAATGTCTTAGACCAAGGGGAAGGCCTGCCGAACTGAAAGAAAAGGGAGTCATTCAGTTGTCATCACTCCAGCTGTTGGTAGATCAATCTTAACGGGAGTTTTTCTGATCACTGGGTATATTAGTTTTCAATTGCCGTGGAACACATTACCACAAATTGAGCATCTTGAAACATCCCAGGCACCACCACCACCACCATCTTGAAACACCTCACAGTTTCTGTGGGGCAGGGTCCAGGCACCACCTCGCTGGGTCCTCTGCTCACAAGAGTCTCACAGGGCGGCAGTCAGGGTGTCACCCAGGGCTGGTGTCTCGTCTGAAGCTTGGGGCCCCCTTCCGAGCTTCTGTGGTTGTGAGCAGAGCTCACTTCCTTGCAGCTGTGGGACTCATGGCGGTTTGCTGCTGCTTCTGGGACAACAGGACAATCTCTCTTCTAGTCTCTGTGCTCAGAAAAGGCCTAAACCCACTTTTAAATGGCTCACGTGATTAGGTCAGGACCACCCGGCTACTCTCCCCTTTGATTAACTCAGAATCAACTGATTTGGGACCTTAATGACATCTGTAGAATGCTTTCACCTTTGCCATATAATGTCACCTGATCATGATCATGGGAGTGTCCTCCCTACCCTCAAGGGGAGGGAATTGTATAGCACCTGTATCCCAGGGGGCGGGATCCTGGGGTTCATTCTGCTTACCACACTGGAGAAGCTTTTTCTCAAATGAACTTAGCATCTGTTTGCTTTGCCCCACATTGTTATACTCGTGGCCACTGGCTACCATGCAAAAAATGCCCTGAGAGCCTTGTGACCGTCCCCTAAGACATGTCTGTGTCCTGTTCTTTCTGCATCCAGACCTTGTCAGGATTGCCAGACCAAGACACCTTCTACGATGTGGTGGACTGCCTGGAGGAGCTGGGCATTGCAGCTGTGTCCCAGCGGCACTTGACCAAGAAAGGGACTGACCTGGACTTAGTGGAGCAGTTGAACATCTATGAGGTAACAGGATATGTGTATGCCTTTTGTAGGGCCTCATACAGCCTGGACAAACGTCAAAGGCTGAGGGAGACATACTCTAGACCAGTGGCTCTGAGTGTGATGTGGCAGCATCTGCAACACCTTGGAACTGCCAAAACGCAGGCTCTCAGGCTCCGCCTCAGACCTGCTGAGTCAGAAACTCCAAGGGTGGGCCCAGATTGATTAATTGCTATTTTATTTTAAAGAACATTCATTCCGAATGAGGGGTGGTGGGGAAGGAGGCACATAGATCGTTGTTTCTTATCCTCGGATAGGGGTGGAACTTTCGGCAGGGCTCTATATAATTTGTAGGGTCCAGTGCAAAATGAAAATGCGGGGAAAAAGTGCTATTAAAGATACTAAACTTTTCACTTTCTTCTGCTTTCTCTCTCACCTTGTCATGGTGGGTTTTTTTAATTTGCTAAAAGTATGTACTCATTGAAGACTATTTGGAAAATACCAAAAAGTGTAAGAGAAAGAAACCGCCCATGATTTTATTATTAACCATGGTTAACATTTTGGTCTGTTTTTCTAGTCTTTTGTAAATGCATAGACTATTAACTCTGGAGATAATAGTGTGTATACAGTGTTGTGTACTGAATCTTTATTAGTAAATATTTTGGAACCATTTACTTTTGTCATTGAATCGTCTTCAAGAATTTCATTTTATTAGGAACATAATAGCCTGTCTGTCTGCAAGAACCTTAATACATATAACCAGTCCCCGTTTTCTCAGATTTAGATTGCTTCCAAGTTTTTGAAAATGATAAATGCTGTTATAATGAACAGCTTTATTCATAAATTTGTGTGCACAGCTAGAGTCCTAGGAGGGATATTTCCCAGCTGAATGGCTCCATTGTGATCTTCACTGGGTAGAAGTGGAGAAACTGACATGTAACTCATTACTTCCTTAAAGTTACTGTCATAATAAGTGACAAGCTGAGGAACAGAACAGAATTATCTTTGTATGATCTTAGGAAAAATCAGTGGAAACTGAGCCAGAGAGATCTGCTGTCAGAGCATAAAGCTTCCCACAGCTGGCCAGCTCTTTTGCCCCTGCTCTGGGCATCTTCTCCTCTAATGAAGCCTCACTTACCCAGTAATCTGCTCACACTTTCATGTTTTATTATCAGTGGGTGGTGGAGGAGTATGTTCTCATGGCTCCTAAGAGACAGGATAAAGTAGGAATTAAGAATACTAAAGATGGAGAAGGAAGGGACTAAAGACAGTTGGCTCACATCAAGGTAGAAGGACGTTTCCCAGTACATATACCTCCCTTTCTTTACCCCCTTCCCCCTGATCAGAGCTCCAGTCTCTGAGACTCTGCTCAACCAGGGGCTTATATTATCATAGCTTTGGATTCTGTGTGGTCAGTGTATATTAGAAGATAGCATAATGCAGGTGAATTTCCTACTAGTGAACCAACTGGGAGAGCATTTTGAAAAGTAGCCTGGTTACCTCCCCCAGAAGACTACTTCTGGTTTCAGGGCATACTTTCTCTCCAGTCTACCTGACTCTCAAGCTACCTCCCCATCTTCCTCTTTCCATTCATGCCAAACGTTTTAAAAGATGTCCTGTGTTCACAGTCTTCCTTTTGTCAAATGGCATTTGCTTAATATTTTTTTTTTTTTTTTGCGGTACGCGGGCCTCTCACTGCTGTGGCCTCTTCCGTTGCGGAGCACAGGCTCCGGACGCTCAGGCCCAGCGGCCACAGCCCACGGGCCCAGCCGCTCCGCGGCATGTGGGATCCTCCCGGACCGGGGCACAAACCCGTGTCCCCTGCATCGGCAGGTGGACCCCCAACCGCTGCGCCACCAGGGAAGCCCCATTTGCTTAATATTTTAACATTAAGAACATATCATTCACAAATGTAGATTATATGTTTCACTCAAAGAACAGCAAAACAGGGCTTCCCTGGTGGTGCAGTGGTTGGGAGTCCGCCTGCCGATGCAGGGGACGCGGGTTCGTGCCCCGGTCCGGGAAGATCCCACATGCCGCGGAGCGGCTGGGCCCGTGGGCCGTGGCCGCTGAGCCTGCGCGTCCGGAGCCTGTGCTCCGCAACGGGAGAGGCCACAGCAGTGAGAGGCCCGTGTACTGCAAAAAAAAAAAAAAAAAAAAGAACAGCAAAACAAACACCCATTGTGATAGTTAACTTTATGTGTCAGCCTGACTGGGCCACGGGGTGCCCAGATATTTGATCAAACATTATTCTGTGTCTGTGTAGGTATTTCTGGATGAAATTAACATTCACATTGGTAGACTGAGTAGTGAAGATTGCCCTCCTCCATGTGGGTGGGCCTCATTCAATCTACTGAAGGCCTGAATAGAACAAAAGGCTGAGCAAGAGAGAATTCACTCTCTGCTGATGGTAATGAGCTGGGACATAGTTTGCCTCTTATCTTTGACCTCTGGCTAGAACTAACACCATTGGCTCCCTTGGTTCGCAGGCATTTGGACCACAGATCTTGGTACTTCTCAGCTGCCATAATCATGTCAGCCAACTCCTTACACTAAATCTCCATGTATATCCTATTTGCTCTGTTTCTTTGGAGAGCCCTCATGCACTCATGCATTTAAGAAGCAGAATATTACCAGTAACTCGGAAGTGTCCTTGATGGTCCTTCCTGGTGTCATCCAACTAATTTCCAGCACTGTTCTCTTTTTTTTTTTTTTTTAAATAATTTTGTCTGAAAATAACTTATTCTGTGAGCTAACACAAAGGATCAGATTATCGAATAAGAGTTGACAGATCTGAGATCTTGTATACTAATCTATCTAGGCTAATAATTTCCAGAATGCAGAGGTGCAGAGACCTGTGACTCCCAGGTCTTTTATTCGTATATCAGACATGTGCTTTCTGACCCAGAACAATAGATGAGGTCTCCAAGTGTGGTTCACGCGTCACCTCGCGCAGTGAGTAATTTGCTTCATAACTATGAAGACTCTCTACTACATAGTCCAGAGAGTCGTGGCGTATAAATCCATAAATTCTGTGTTTATTTAGTGTAGGTGATCCTTAGCCAATCCTACCCTGCTAATTAAGGGCATTCCGGAAACAAGAACTCTCATTTTAGCAAATATCATCAGGCTGTTTGTTAGATAGTCTAGTTATTAGCATATTTACAAAAGATTAGATGGGGTCATTGTCTTCTTTCTTTCCGCAGAAGCATCACTACTACAAAAGGAGTGGAGGGATCACAGCCCAGCTGTTTTAACTCCTTCCTCCCAGTCTGTATCCCTAAACAACATATTAATTTTGTCTTTTTATAAATGGAACCATACCTCTGGTGTCCTCCTACAGTTTCTCTTTTGGCTTATTGTTTTTGAGACCTACCCATGTTGTTATGTGAAGTTCTAGTTTGTTCACTTTCACTGCTGATGAATATATCCCAATTTATTTATCTGCTCTTCTCTTGATGGATGTCGGCTGGTTACAGTTTTGTTGCCATGACAATGCTACCATGACCATTCTTTTCTGCGTGTGTGTGCGCGCGCGTGCCCAATACTCTTTATGTTTACATATCAATTCTATACTCGCTTTGTAAAAATATTTAGAAGTTTTTCTTCTTTCTCTCTGCCCTTGTCTCTGGTCTTTGATTATTTGATAGAATTCCCTTGGGAAATTGGGTGGACCTGTGATGATGATGATGATGATGATGGGGCAGAGGAGGAGTGTGTGTGTTTGTGTGTGTGTGTGTTGGAGGCAAGAGATCGTTGGTAACTATGTTTTTTCTATGGGTATTGGTCTATTTAGACTTCCTATCTTTATGTAGATCAGTTTTTCTGAATCATATTTTCCTAGGAAATTATCCACTTTATCTGGATTTTTAAACTGATTACTAAAGAGATATTCTTAGGAACGTTTTTAATTTCCTCTTGTTCAGAAGTTATTTTCCTTTGTTAATTTTTGTGTTTGCAATTTCTCCCTTTTTTTCCTCTGTGTTAACTAGTGGTTTGTCTGTTTTGTCGTTGTTGTTAATTTTGACTTATGTATGATTTTCAGTGCTCTTCTGTTTTGTAACCCAAAACGTTTTTATCTCTATAATTTCCTTCTTTAATTTTCTTTCAGTTTACTTTGTTGTTCTTTTTTTTAGATTTTTAAGTTGTTTATTTACTTTATTTCCTTTTATCCTTTAACCATCCTCGCATTCCTGGACTGTAACCCACTTGGTCATGATGTGTTCTTTTGTAAAGTGTGCTGTTGGAATTCTGTTCGATACTAATTTATTTAGGATTTTTACGCGAATAGTCATAAGTAAGATTGGCCTCCCTCTCAGCCTCCCCCCTCTTCCTTTCTTCCTTTTCTGTATGCCGCCCCTAGTAGCTTGGGCATCACTATTATGCTAGCATCATAACAAGATGATGCTGGTGGTCATGAAACCACTTTTGTATGTTGCTCCTGTAGAATGCACTCCCGGCGACTATGTCTATGGATGTCTCCAGGGTACCTCTCTGATTGTTCCTCCTCGATGTCCTCCCATGGATCTTTCTTCTCTGTCTCTTCCCTTTCAGTGTTGGGGTTTCCTTAGCAGACCTCCTCCTCTCTCAGTACATGCAGCCTGCACTATGATTCACCCAGTGAATTCAGCAGCTTTGGAGGCTGGTGGCTGATACCTTGACCCTGAGCTTCCTGCCAAGACTCCTGGCTGCCTGACCCTCTGCCTGCTTGTCTTTTTGTATTACGTTCATTCATTCATTGAGGGTATGTCACATACTCTGCTAGGGCTGAAAATACAGAGCTAGAAGATCTGTCCCTGCCCCAAGCAACTTTCATTCTGTGGTCTAAGACAAGCAGGTGGCTGGTTCCCCCAGCAGCTAAATGTGATGGCACAAGAAGGGACATGGAACATGCCAGAGGAGCTCAGATTATGTCAGTCACAGCCACCTGGAGGCTGCACGTGACATGTATCCAGCCCTAATGAAACCTTTTATTTTTCTCCCATGACAAAAACAAAAATCCCACACAATCTGTTCATTTCTCC